ATATCCATGGTTATAATTTAGAAATTTACTAGTGAGAGCTGCAAATAATAATAATTACTCTAGATCTAGAAAGTTCCTGATGATGTAGTGGTCTAAATATTTTGAGAAAAGAGAGTACATTAGAAATACGAGTAATAACTATATATATATATAGTTATGAGATTGATATATTCCAGATGACTATGTCAGTGTGTGTGTGTATTCTGAACCTATTTTAGCATCCCGCAGGTAGACATAGTCTTCAACTCGGAACTTCTTTTGGTTTATGCGAATGAATCACAGCCTTTCTGTTTCAATTTTGGCATACATTACGATTTTAGTGGCGCAAGGGGACCATGAAACCTTGTAAGTGTAGTGAATGTTGTTAAAACATAAGCCTAAAGTAAAGACATATTGTGAGATAACCGAGCTTAAAGCCAGGTGCATAAAATTTAACATGAAGGTAAAAATACTGATCCAATGTTAAACTTAAATAATAAAAAACGTACCTCTTTAATTAACTGAGACTTTAAAATTAGAAAACAATAAATATTTTTTATCAATTTTGTAGTTTATACATTTCATTTTATACTTTCGGCACACAGACTTTTAATATCAATATTAGGTTATACTTTTATTGCTAAGCAGCATGATATAAAAACCATTGTTGGAACGCATTGTTACCAAAACGCACTGGCTTTTCTATATATTAGAAGTTTTATATAAGGAACCACTTCTTTTCTATGTGGTTTTTCATTAGCTTGCCTCATAAAAAGATGCGCATGCGCGCACGTGCATAAGTAATAATACCCAGGTGCAAACCCCCAGGGTCCACTTAGTATTGGTGCAAAATTTCAGCTTTCTAGGTTCTTTCCTCTTGGAGCTATGGTGGTCACACACATACACAGACATGTCCTTCTATTATTATATACATATATGTATATGTGTGTTACATATTTCTTTTTTTTTTACCGAAGGTAAAATTGAAAACAGAATCCGTGACGTAGAAGTCTAATGTGTTTTATAATTTGCTGGACCCTCTGCTGTGGACTGCAGTCTCGCCTATTCAAGGCTCAATCAGCACAGCTTGGGGTTAGCAAAGCAATGAAATACAGTTAGGTTTGTTATAATGACGAGTAATAACTGTGTGAAAATTCAATGAGAATTCCGTAAATTTTTCAGATCAGTTTTAATACTGAGAGTGCTACTGTGTTGGGTTACTCGGTGGATTAACTGTGGAATACCGTAAGTACATTTAACTGTGAGTTACTCATATAATTAGAGAGAAATTTCCTGTTGAAACGCCGTATTTGAAATTAGGCCTACAACTTGTACCAAAGTAAACGTAGCCTGTAGAAAGCATTATGGAAGAACTAAACTAATATATTTTAGTTACATGGACTGGACTTGGCAATATTTCTTATCAAAACCCGAAAAACAACAACAACAACAAACAAAAAAAACAATCCAAGGAAAGAATACGTTAACATTGTATTTTTTTCATTTGATGGTATATATATATATGTAATATCTAAAACTTTTATGAAAACACGGAAGACTTTTTTTTTCTGGAATTGAAGCACATATATTTTTATTGTTTCCATTTATGTTAACGAATAAATGAAAACTAATTTATCTGCATCATAAGTTACATTATTGTTGAATTCTTTCTAACCAAACTACGCACAGCGTAAGATTATTCACATTGATTTAAAAAGTACAAATAAGAGAGAACAATAACTTTGTTCCATAAACTCTCACAAAAAACATGTTGGAATCCGCGAGGAACGCTAAGTAGCAAGAATTGGCCAATTTGAAATAGCACTATGTATGTTTAAAAAAACAAGCGTGCATACTCAGAAACTGTAGGGGGCATTAATAACTTGATAAGTGATATTAGGCCTATCATTTGAGTCAAAGAAGCGGAATATGTATAAACTTTACCCTAAAACTAACTGCAACAAGCCTATTACATTTGTAAATTACATAAACATTGTCTGGCTAGTATAGAACTATGTATCACTTGAATTTCATCTAATAAACTTTTAAATAGAAAATACACGTATACAAATTTTGTTGTTTACCTTTGTATTGTCGATAAACATACGTGTGATATTATATACTTCACAACCTATAGCTTATACAGGCCTACTAACTGCACTTTTATGCTACAATTTGAGTGTTATAACTGCCTTATTGTGATGTAATAGTTCAGCTGTTAGTAGTAGTAAAGTCAGGGCTGCCATCGTTTAGAAATCTGTTTGAGTGAGACTTTTGAAAAAGTCAAATTTTAGCTGAATTTGACCTGGATCCAGATACTTACTCAACCAAAATGCGTTATAGACAAGATCAAGGCTATTATTATTAATTTCACCAAAACATGATAAAAAGATTGGCAATAACTAGAATTACACCCTTCTCTACAGCCCAATATAAGTTTCCAGGATTTTCAACAGCAACAAATCGCACTAGCTCTCAAAACATGTGCGTAAGACACACCACTTCTTAAAAAAAAATTAATGATTAACTGATTAAGCAATGCAGTTCTATTAAAATGCTATAGCAGGAAATAACACGTTACAGAGGCAGGTTAAGCAACCTTTCTTGAGAATATTCTTATATATATATAAACACAACAAGAATAAATAGACTAAGCCATGGTCAATGTTTCTCATGTGTCTGTCTAGACTAGACGAAGGCGTCTAAACATTACAAACTCTACTCGCCCTTTGTAACCGAACTCACACTTAGCACTAAACACCAACTATCAGAAGTGGTACTAGCGCCACTATTACTTTGATAAATATTCAAATACTACATGTGTGATTTTTTCCTACTTAATAGCGTGCTTCCATTTCAACATTGACAACTAGCACTTTCCTATTAAAAGCTCCCTTCTCAAAGAAAAAAAAAGAAAAAAGTCAACCCACAACCTCCCGAATGTAAAAAAATGGGACCCAAATCCGCTGGAAATACGCGGGCTTGGCAATCCTGTTGTTATATGTTGCAATCCAGATAATAATTACTGGTAGTGGTAAGTTTTGTAAGTTACTGGCAGCAGCATAATAGCAGGATTAATGTTATGTTGCTTAGATTAAGGCAAATATCGGTCTATTTATTTATTTCATTTAGGTATTTGTAACCAAAAAAGTGGAAAACTTAATGCATTTAATGTAATTAACGGCAGAGCCTAAACATTATTTTAGCAAATATTTTTGCTTATCGATAATCACAAATACATTATATGATCACACTTTCCTAATAACGCGACAACGTGAGGTTTACAAAATATTGTTACGTCTTTGGTCTTAGTTAATTTTCCGTAAAAATTCTTTCCGAAGAACTTTAGCGATACAAGTTCTTTCTTAATAAAACTGGTTTATTCTTCTCTTGAATACAACTTTGTCA